CATTAAAGTTTTTCTTCATTACCCATTCAAGCCGTCTCCAGCCATTATTAGTCTCAAAGTGGGTTCCTCGTCATCGAACTTGAGTAATTTGTTGAGTCAAGTTTTAACAATAAGACTTTGTTTTCCAAGATAAGGAGTAGCAAGTGTTAAAGGATTGAATAGTAGTTGGTAGAATATCTTTCTCGGCTAGAAAGGTAAATGTTAAATTATCAAGTAAAAATAAAGTATACCCATTTTTTCTTAAGGTGTTCTGAAAGAAAGTAATTTCTTTATGAATAGAGAAGTAATGAGAGCAGATAGAGTAGTCTCTGTGAAGAAGAGGTTAGATGTTTGACAGTATCAAGAGTCAGAAAATTCAAGCACAGGACCAAGCATTGCACTGCCTGTTCCTGAAGCCATCAGTTTAATGCAATGAATTACCTGAAATGCCTTAAGAACCAATCCAGATCCTATTTGGCCATCTTCCTAAACATTGGGGAGAGTTATACATCACCTCCATCACAGCTGCACATAGTGTTGGTGAAGCTTTCTCTCTCTTTGAACTAGATGATCCTTTATGAAGGGGGCTGTCAAATAGATAGTTCCAGAAGCCCCACACTTTGTGTCAGCTCTTGATCCCAGGGTTGCAGAATGAAGAGCTAAAGGTTATAATTTATTTATTGTTCTTGCATACCTCCCATCAAAGAGAGGTTCTTCCTTCAACTTCCATGAATGCTTATTGTTTCACCAGCCACTGATAAAGCCCCTGTTGTTGTCTGTCATCTACCAATGACACTCTGACTCTCAGCTCAGTAGGGTGCCTCCCTTCTACAAGAGGCTCTGCCCCAAAGTTTTTCTTCCTCACCTGTGAGTGCCTGTTGATTCATCTGCTAGTGACATAGTTCCTGTTGGTGGATTTAACCAACCAATTGAACCTTACATCTGTCTCATGGCTCTGCATAGCACCTCCCTTCAGGGAGAGACTCTCCATTGCTCCACTGATTGCAGTTTTCATCAGTGAATTCTCACTGTCTTGTCTGCCAGTGAATCAGCTTATGTTTGGGGAGTTCACCTACCAATAGCACTTCACATCTCTCTCAACTTCTTTTGACAGAAGATGGTATTAATCAGAGTTAGAGTCCTGTATCTCTGATCAGTGAACACTTTGGGGTGCTATAGAGACTGCCACACTCAGTCTAGGAAACCCTTGGCTGCACAATACCCCAAAAACATCTGAGTCCCATTTGCACTAAAGTTCAATCTCAGGGGTAGAATTTTATCAGCATACTAGGTACTCCAGATGGCATCCATTCTTCTTCTTTACCTTGTAGCTACATGGTGATGGAACTTACACAGCAATGGTAAACATCCAGTATCCAGGAGAGAACTTCTCCCAGACCATACTTGCTGGTAATTGCACATCCCTGGCTCCTATCTCTTCTCCTAAGTTGTCTATCCTTTGAACTTTGGAAAAATTACAACTGTACAGTGTCCTCACTAGTGTGAAGAAGAGTTTGCCTACATACCCATTCAAAGAGCAAAAGTCTCTGCAACAACAGTATCCATGATCACAGCACCAAAATCTTCCCTTCCTACCTACTCAGAAGTATTTTCCATTACACAGATTTACCTGAGGTTGCTCATTGGCTTATGTAGCCTCTCAAATTGCTTCTAGAACATTCTTGAACATTCTGGGTATGAAATTCGAGAATTTATTGGTTATTTTCAGAACATTCTGGAAATTGAGCTCTATAAAATTCTTGCACATTTCATGGAAAAAGCTATGTGATAGGTGTAAAACAAGATAGGGTGCAAACGGAGTATAAGTACAAACAGGAATCAAAAATTCTCATATTGCAAAATACTTGAGGTTGGAACATTATGGATTTGTGGTTATAAATGATTGTAATAACACAAAAGGTGCTTGTTTCATAGCTACTTTGGCTCATTCTGTGCTAAGTAATGTTGGTTTTGAAGTATACTGGGGAGCAAATAGTTCCAAAGTGGTATCCATAGGGTTAAATATGAATAATAATATTTTTTCTTTACTTCTTTAGCTTGACTCGCCTGTACACTAAACTTCATCGTGCTGTAGACAGCTTGGAGTACTTTACAATGAATGAATGGACCTTTCACTGTAACAACGTTCTCAAGCTCTTTCAGCAGCTGGAAGAGAAAGATAAAGAGGTGAGAAAGGATGAGTCTAGAGACTGTGTTCATTAAGAAGTCCAGTTTGAAATCAAAAACTATTTTGGTAATCTAATTTTCTATGAACTGTTTAGATTACATATGCAATTTCAGGTATGCAGTGCTTTTCTTTGCAATTTTTTGTAGGTTGGTTCAAGAAGTTCTCCATTCCGAAAACAAATACTTGTCACATCATATAAAGGGAAATTGGTTTGCCACTTGGTTCTAAGAAGATGGATAACAATTTATTGAATTAAAATATCCATTTTCATGTTCCAACAGGAAAAACTATGTACATATTTGAAAGCAATATTTTTGTTTTTTAATGTTACAGTATCTTCCCTGTTAAAAAAAATATTATAAAATCAGAAAGATCTTTAAATTCCTTAGTAACTGGAAATAAGTAGGTTGTGTAATTTCTGACCTGTCATTCCTGTTTTATGTATAGGTATAAACCGTGAAAACCTTTTGAACCATCAATAAAACTATACTCAGTACTGTGTAATAACGTTGTAGAATGATAAATTACTGGTTTGAAAAAGCTAAATTTGAAGATCACTGGTCATATTGAAAGTTGGGATTTGATAAATTAAAAATCTAGAATATGGGAATAATTTCTTTGAAAAGCATTTGACCAAGATAGCTTACCTGCATCCCATTTTCAAAAGTAGGATGAAACCACAACTTGAACAATCCCTCAAAAATCAAATAGTAAAATCTAGTAATGAAAACAGTTTACCAGTTGATATTACTGGGTTTCTACTTGGTCATACAGTTATACATTTTGGAAGATCTTGCAAAATGTCATATAAAGTCTGAAATTTTGGTTACAGGCATACAAGATGTGCAGTGTGCACCCATATGATCAACAATTCATGACTTTACTGAGGCATCTTTGTGTTCATGACAAATCTTCATCTAAAATTAGATTTGAAATATTACAAAGAAATTGCTTTGCAAATGATAGCTAAAATTTAATGTCTCAATTTATTCCTTATTATCTGCTGTATCATATGTATCAGGAAACATATTTCAGCTCTGATTTCAACTGGCCTTTTGGTAGAAGTGAAAAATAATTTGTCTGGTCGCTATAATCTATATTTCCAATTTCTTCCCTAAGATGTCTCACTTTCCTTTTCAGGATAAAACTATAAAAGTGCAATACATAAATATGGTAATTCGAGGTAAGTGTCATCTCCAAGCATGTTGGACTTTGTAATCAGAGCTCAGAATGTGGCTATAACCTGGTAAAACAAGCTTCTAGGCAAAATTTTGTTTATGCATGGAGGAGTTCAGCATAAAAGTATGTGAAATTAATCAAGTGAAGACATGCTGTGGCCTCAGTAAACATCAAGATAAAAGACATCAGCTTAATAGAACTTCATCTAATAAAACAAATACATCTCAGCCTGAGGGCAAGGGAAATATTTTCATAGAAGCTGCAGTTAAGGCAACTGAGCCTTTCCTACTCAGGACCTTTGGGATTTTATGACAAAAGCAAAGTTTTATTATGCTTTTAAACTATTAGACTCTAATAGTTTGATGAGGTCATGTGATCATGCATGAGACATGTTTAAAACCATATTCCCAGATAGTGAAATTGCTTGTGGTTTTTAACGATTGAAGGATAAAGCATCTTATACTGTAAATTTTGGCCATGATGTATACTATGCAAACATGGCAAATACAACATTATGTTAGTGTGAGTTTTTTATGGCACAGTTTGATGAATCATTAAATAAAACCTCTCATAGCAGCCAGATAGATGATGAGTCTAACTAGTTCAAAGAAGGTATATTACATCTTCCTTTCCAGGACATGCTTTGGGAAGAATTTTTTGATTCTCTGAAAGAATGCATGCCAAATTGATTATGGCTCTTCCATACTCATATAAATGATTCTCTATGAGGGGGTATGCCATTTCATCCTTAAAAAGATAAACAATCTTCCAGTACAAGCTGCTAGAAATTGGTTCATGTTCATACAAGAAGAAAAATGAAGCTGTGCAAAAGAAAAATATTACAACCAAGAGCTTTGGCTGAATAGCATCAGAGCTTCAATAATATTCACAAGCTACAGGCTCAGCTTGCATTTTTTGTACCAGTTGGTGTAGAATTAGAACCATTTCTGAAGGAATTTCAGTTTTTGGCTCCTTTTATTTATAAACAACTGTAAACCATCATAAAGATGATAATACTGAGTTGATTAATAAAGCCACATGCCATTGAATCTCAGCCAAATCGAACTGCATTTATCAAGTTCAATGTTAGGAAGGAAGAGAAATTGCTACTTATGAGAGAGATAGATTGATAGAAATTGTATTTGGTACAAAAAGAGCACTAAATGGGAAGAATATTCCAAATTATACAATAAGAATTATGTTCAAATCAGGGCAGAGTGCCATGAAATTCTACATAAAATTTTTGGGAAACTCCAGGAAAGGAGTCCATTCAAGTACAAATTGACTAAAGGTGTAAGCGCAATGGACCTGAGTCTGATATGGAGCAGTTCTAATGAAAGTGTAAGATGCTTCAGAATTGTCTGTGATCAGCTGATTGATGCAGGTGGCAACACATCAGTATTTGCTGATGGAAGTAATGCTTGCTGGACTAAATTAGCATGTTCACCCACGTTCCTAAATCAATATAACGGTTTCTCCAAGTATTCCACCCTAGGAGAAGAATGCAAAAAGGAGAACTGACTGAATGTCTTCTACTTTGAGATTGTCGGTGCCCTGCCTCAGCACAAAGATCTTTACTATGTCATCTAAATGATTATGGTATTTTCACATAAAAATGCTGAGGTTGAAAGAAGGCTTTCTGTTAATAAGCATCTGTTACAGGACAGTCTTAAGGAACAGTGTATAATTTCTCAGCAATTGGTGTACCTGGCAATCCCTTGAGGCATAGCAAATGGAAGGAAACAGAAAATATTTCTTGGACATAATTATTGATAGAAAGATGATCAAGTATGTTTGTATGATATCTCAAAAGTGAGCACAACATCTCAAAGCAAGAAAGAAACAGATTTCTGCCGAGAAATCTAAGAAGGCTGCAAAAAAGTACGAAAGATGCAGGAATCAAATAGTTGGAGGATTAAAAAGGAAACTAACTGTGGAGGCTAATACATCTTTAAATCACATTGAGGAGCAGAGTAAGGAGCTGAAGAAAGTACACTGGATCATTGGACCATGTTTCATTGGTACATTTGCCACTGTAGATCTATTCACCGTATTCGAGGAAATTACTTAATAAGTTGCATTGAATCTAAGAAGTGATGTATGAAATTAATGTTTATAAAATGTCAACCTTTTTCAATGAATATTAAAAAAATGATTATTCCTGTCCAATACACATGTAAAATTAGGCTAAAGTTGTACAAAGAAATTGCTTTACAAATGAAAGCTAAAATTTAGCCTTTCAAATTATTCTTCGTTATTTGCTGGATCATATGTCTATTAGGTAGCATATTTCAGCTTTAATTTCATTATTCTTTGTTATTTGCTGGATCATATGTCTATTAGGTAGCATATTTCAGCTTTAATTTCATTATTCTTCATTATTTGCTGGATCATATGTCTATTAGGTAGCATATTTCAGCTTTAATTTCATTATTCTTCATTATTTGCTGGATCATATGTCTATTAGGTAGCATATTTCAGCCTTAATTTCGACAGGCCTTTTGATGAGGGTGAAAAAAATAGTAAATTTGTTGTTTGGTTGGTATTTCTTTCATTTTATTGGAGTTTTAGTCTCATGAAAAAACAACACATATATAAGGCCCTCTATAAATCATACATAATTTAAATTGTGCAATTTTCCCAACAAAACTCATATAAAACCCTATAATTTTACCAAAAAAAATCATCCAAAGTCATATATTTTGCTCTATATTGATTTATAGACACCCAGTTATTACAATTTCAATTTATTTTTTGGAATCTTTTTCATTAATCGTATCTAAAGCTTTTGTTTGAATCAGAAAATCATTACTGAGGTTAATCTTGCTGTAAAAATATTGTTCTAGGTCTTGCATTGCCCTTGAAACTACCCTTTCCATCATGAGGGTTAGTGAGGTCAGCTGTGTACCACAAACGTTTTGTGGATCTTTTCCTTTACACCAATGTCAGTGAAGCATACCAAAGCAACTGGAGACAACTGGAGCTGCATCAGGGGATTTGATGAAGATGCAGATGAATGATACTGCTTTGATTACAGATTAGTCGTTGATTTTGAGGTGCGGCTAGAAGATTGTGATGTTTTGACCTCTAAGTATTTGACAATTTCAAGTCCCTGTTTTCAGTCTTGTTAACTGTACAAGGAAATGTGCCAAATTTAACTGCAATGGCTTTTTAGGTTGGAGGGTTTTTATTTTAAAACCATAAACTTCACATTGTGGATGAGGGTGTTGCTTCAGATTGGATTGTAGTGTGGATTTTGAACACATTCTGTTCTAAACATTATGCTGTGTGAGTTTTTAAGCTTCTATGAACAACATGAAGGCTCTCTTTTTACAGTGTTGTGTTCATTGGCTCTACATCATTTATCAATATTGCTGTATGAATATTTATCTTTGGAAAGGTTGGTTCTGTCTTTGCAGCCATAAATCTATATGGAGCCGCTTTGAACTGTTGAATGGTTGGTAATTAGCTGCAAACCAAAATGATATGACTTAGTATGTTGTCCATAGTGCCACGAATCCTATCTGCAGCCACAATATTAGAATATGCAACGTGCAATTAACCAACCCTCTGTGTGTATAAATATTTAACTTACCCGTAATGATAAGTCTGTGATGATACATCAACACAATTATTAGCTAAAAACATGTTTTACATTTAAGCTTTAAATAGATTTTGAGAAATTTGATCATAATGATAAGTCTGTGATGATACATCAACACAATTATTAGCTAAAAACATGTTTTACATTTAAGCTTTATGTAGATTTTGAGGAATTTGATTTCTTCTTAAAAGTCAAGGTCTGACATCCTAACTATCAAATTCCTCAAAATCTATTTAAAGCTTAAATGTAAAACATGTTTTTAGCTAATAATTGTGTTGATGTATCATCACAGACTTACCATTACGATCAAATTTCTCAAAATCTACTTAAAGCTTAAATGTAAAAGATGTTTTTAGCTAATAATTGTGGTGATGTATCATCACAGACTTATCATTATGATCAAATTTCTCTCATTTCAGGTGTTCAACTTTTCTGTGGAATCCCTCAATTGGTCAACCTACTTACAGGACTATGTCCTTGGAACCCGACGTTTTGTACTTAAAGAAGATGAGTGTACACTTCCCACTGCTAGAAGAAATATTAAAAGGTTGGTGGAATATTTTTTCTCTTTGACTGCCATATTTTTCATGTGTAACAATAAGGCTTAAACCTCAGTTCAAGTTGAAATCAAGGCATACTTTTGAGGCCTTATAATAACATTTTTAAAGAAAGAAATATATTCAAATAACTATATTAACTTTAATAAGATAACAATATGTGGCTTATTTATCTTATTAAGTAAAATTTAACTTTTGATTCATAATGTCTCCAATATTATCAATTTTCTACAAATCAAACTGGTTATTGCTTATTGGTGGTATCAGATAAAAATGTGGCTTAATTATCATTTTATAAACAAAATTTAAGCTTCATGATATTTGTGATATCATACATTTTCTATGAAATGATATTCATATGATATACTTTGAATCAATAGCCTAGTAATTTTTTAAATGTACCATTTAATATAGGATAATCAAGAGTAGATAATTCTTTTAACGTTTCCTATACTTTACTTAAACATAACACATGTAATATACATGTTTTATATCTTCTTATTGTAATGTAGATATATCTGCAGTTTTTACATAAAATGTGGTCGAGAAAGTTGATTTTGTTCTATTTCTCTGTCTCTTGTCATTCTCTTGAAGTCACACCTGATTTACCCATGGAAGCATGGCTGTAAAGCTACATGTACCAAAAATGTAGACAGCAGTGCCCTTCCCATTTAGGTTAGGTAGCATCTCAAAGTTATGGCATCCTCTAAGTTTGAATGTGAATGACCAGTCACGTGGGTAGCGCTAATTGTTATGGGTAAATCAGAACATATCCCATTAAGTAATAAACATTAGATATTAGTGGGATTACATCTCATGGGAGACCCCGAATCTGATCAGCTCATGAATCCATGAAAGGTGACCATCCAGTTTCCATATCAAAATACACACACTTTGTTTTTTATCTGTGATATATATTGTTTTCATTCTATGCCACACATTTTGTCCTGTCTATTTATTTCTTTTATCAAACTCGGTTAGTTATAGCTACATTTAGTATCATTTAATGATATATCCTGCTGATCCTAACATTATATAGCAAACCTATCTAGCACACTTTCAATTTCACATTACTTGAACTTTTGTGTTACTGAGTTTAAAGGAATGCTTCTGACCTAATGAATGGCATTTTCTACACTTCAAGTACTCATGCTTAAGACATGGTGTTAGCTGCTGAAGGAAGAATAAGGAATAATTCAGAAAAATGGGTTTAAAAAGCTACTGGATGCCAGTCTAGGGTTAAATATGTTACTCGAGAGTTTCTTGCAGTGTATATATTGTTTTTATCATGTAAATTAAGCTCCAAAAAATAGCAAGAAAATAAAAATGGTAAATATGGGGTTAAACAGAGAAAGATTAACTTGTTCGCATTCAAGTTCTTGTGAAATATGTATAAAAAACAGATATAAACTAGTTTAAAATACCCAGTTTATATAGTATTTGAAGTTATCTAAAACAGTCTTAAAATCTGTGCTACTTTCTGATACACGTTTTGATCGGGTGTTTTTATATGAATTATGTTTATCACTATACCATATGTACACACTGACCTTTTGTTCGCCACATTATGTGATGTTTAATATATTAAAATAATTTTATTCGTTTTATTTGATTATCTTTACATTTTAATTTAACATGAGTTTACTTCAGTATAAAGTTTAGAATTCTAACTTTTTCCACCATTGATACATTCTATAGGTTGTACATATACAGCCGACTGACCTACGTCCTGGTGTCCATCTTTATCTGGATGATGCTAATATATCGATCCAAGAGGTTGCAGATATTTTGGATGTTTCCATGGTCATTTCTTAATCGTAAAAGATAAAATGCCTAAGCAGTGTAAATATAACATGTTTGCGCGTTTCTTGTTCTCCGGTGCTTCCAGTTTCCAGAACTTGTAGTTTGATTGTTTATTTAACATTTCTAATAAACGTAGACGAATTTCACTCGACACTTTTTATTCTCTATTGTGAATCTGTTTGGAGACTATTAAGACGTTTTCTCTCTCTCTCTCAATACTAGATAATCTTAAATAAGTTTTTACAAAGTGCCGAAACTTTGATATGGTAGATTTCTCCAATATCGAGTTATATTACTAGATTTTAGAAAAGAAAAAAAAAGAACGATTGTTATACACACAGATGAACATTTTGTGTGATAATCAACTCTTCTTTTAAACAGTTGAATTAGTAGTAACGCTGCTAGAGAAGACTTGTAGACAAATATTTCAATTTAGCACGTGCTTGTGAAGTGTAGAAATATGTTTAATTCGTTTTATTGTTTGGTTAAATAATTCACGTGTAGCTGATATCGGAAAAACGTACTTTAGTTTAATAAACGTGACATTTTTATAGTTCTTTAAGGTAAGCAATTCAGTTGTAAATGTTTTATTTAGATTCTGGAAAGTTAGAAGTAATACTATCTTTGCAGAGTGGGGAAACTTGTTTGTTTGTAATTAAGCACAATGGGCTATGTGTGCTCTGCCCACCACGGGTATCGAAACTCGGATTCTAGTGTTGTAAGTCCGCAGACATACCGCTGTGCCACTGGGGGGGGGGGCTAGAGTGGGAAAACAAAAATAGTTTGTTTCTACAAAAGAGCTATGATTTACACGTCAGGACTTTTGAAATTTATTAACTTGTAAATACACTTTTAACCGAACTTCTGCAAATGGTTTTGTTTTAGGTAGTATAACATTATAAAATGTATTTTTAATTAACGTTAGAATTCTATTGTGAATGTTTATGGAAAAGAAAAAGTATAGTATTCATTGTATGGTTGAAAATGTAAATAAAATAATGATTTTTTGTTTTTGATCAGAATTTGACATCATTTATTTCAACTCAAACACAATACATGAGTTTCATTGATAAGAAGACGTTTATTACATTTATAAAATGTACCCAAAACGATTATTGATTCTTTCAAATGTACACAAACTATTACAAAAGGGTCAGCACGTTTTACTGAAAAACCTTGCCAATAATATATTCAAGGTATCCAGATTTTTCAACGGCATCAAGCTTTTCTGGCTCTCAAAACAAGCCACTCCCTAACCACCTAATGCAGTTTTGTTAAAAAAGCCATAGTAACATAATGTGGGAGAAAATAACTTACTGGTAAAAGAACAAACTACAATGTTTCATTTTGTCCATCCTTTCTTCTATAGCTATCAGAAGATATTTACCGAGAGTAAAGTAAGCTAGATGTGCTCATTTTGGCTGTTATTATGTAAAAGGTTTATATGTTTGACTGTTTATTGTGTTAAAATGGCCTGTGTGTATATATATAATACAGCAGTTAGGTTTTTATGGCCAAGTGGCTAGGGCGCTCGACTCTCAATCTGCGGGTTCGAATCCCCGTCCCTTTCAGCCGTGGGGAGTTATAATGTTACGGTCAATCCTACTATTCGTTGGTAAAAGAGTAGCCCAAGAGTTGGCGGTGGGTGGTGATGACTAGCTGTCTTACACTGCTAAATTAGGGACAGCTAGTGCAGATAGCTCTCGTGTAGCTTTGCGCCCCAAGAGTTGGCGGTGGGTGGTGATGACTAGCTGTCTTACACTGCTAAATTAGGGACAGCTAGTGCAGATAGCTCTCGTGTAGCTTTGCGCCCAAGAGTTGGCGGTGGGTGGTGATGACTAGCTGTCTTACACTGCTAAATTAGGGACAGCTAGTGCAGATAGCTCTCGTGTAGCTTTGCGCGAAATTCATAACAAAGGGGTTTTCTGACAAAGTCAGTCTCTCAGCTTTAATTTATTATGCTCAGGTTTTCTGACAAAGTCAGTCTCTCAGCTTTAATTTATTATGCTCAG